TCTGACCTATTTGGGGATTTTGATTGACACCAAGAAGCAGCTCTGCACCTTGCCCACGGATAAGGTGGTGGGGCTGGTAACCTCACTGGGGCAGGCTTGGTCTCGGAAATGCCTAACCTTGCGGGAGTGGCAAACGCTGCTGGGCCACTTGAATTTTGCCTGCAGGGTGGTGGCCCCAGGACGGGCCTTCATCTGGCCAATCACTGAGGGGAGTCTCCCCGCCTCATCACCTGGTCAGAGTCTCAGGCAGGATTAAAGTGGACCTGTACATGTGGCTGGAGTTTCTCAGGGGGGTTAATGGGGTGTCCTTTTGGCGCAGCTCCATGCTCCTGGAGGTGTCCTTGCAGATCTCTTCTGATGCATCAGGCAGCATGGGGTTTGGAGTCTTTTTCCAGGGGAGCTGGATGTCAGCTAGCTGTCATTTTTCATGTGTATTTGTCCTTTCCTGACTGTAACACTACGGCGCATGCTTGCTCGCTTGCTCGTTTGCTGTAAACAGCGATAGGGAGGCGCTCCTAAGACCGTGCGAACTGGTGCTGCCAGACTGGGTTATCTGACTAACCTTGAGGAAGAGGGAGGGCTTGCGTTCCACTGTTGGTGAGAATATTTCTGCTCTCATGAGGCACGGAGGCTCTCCCGCTCATTATGTAACCTCCAGCTGGGAGAATTCCTGCACGCGCGCTTGGATTTCATTTGCTTAGCCATTTGCAGCATCACGTTATATGAAGGGATGCATCCACCCCATTGTCATTCCTAACAATATCCCTGTAGACCATGGCAACGGACCTGTAATCTAATAAAGCATAACGTTTCCCTGGAATCGTGTGTGGAGATTTACTTGCTGTTGAACCTGACACTGGTGCGCCCAATGCTGGCCTAGGATCTCACTTTCTTGGAATTTTTTCCTATGGTGGTGGTGGTCCACCTATGGCACACCCAGTTAAAGGACAAGGTGGTCAAGTTCTGGTGTGATAACCTAGCAGTGGTGCAGGTTGTCAATAAACTAATGGCAAAATCTCCCATGGTTATGCGGTTGGTGCGGGCATTTGTGCTACGGTGTTTGCAATTCAATATGCTGTTTGTGGCTGAGCACGTTCTGGGGGTACACAACAACATTGCTGATGTGCTGTCTCATTTTCAGGAAGTCAGGTTCCAGGAGTTAGCCCTGGGGGCAAAACTGGAGTCGGAGCCGATGCCGGTGGCAGCGTGACGTCGATAGGGCAGTTGAGGAGTCATTAGCACCAGGTATGAGGACAGCATACAGGGGGCACCTGGAGATCTTCTGCAGGTTCAGGAGGGATTCTGGGCTCAAGCAGCTCTGGCCAGTACTGATTGAACACCTGCTTCAGTTTGTGGTTGCCTTGAAGGCAAAGCGCCTGGCGGTTAGCACCATTAAAGGGTACATGGCTGCAGTGTCATTCTGGTCAAAGGCATGGGGGTTAGTAGACTGCACAAGGGATTTCAGGCTACGGCGCATGATGGAGGGCTGGCTTAGGGAGTCACCACCAGTGCCCAATACCAGACAGCCATTTACCCCAGACATCATCAGGAAGTTGGTCAGCCTCTTCACAGGCTTGTGCTCCTCACTATGGGAAGCAGTTCTCTTCCGGGTGGCAACCCTGGTGGCCTTTTTTGGGGTGTTTTGGATAAGTGAGTTGCTTGTCAGGTCCTGGTGGGATGGTAGAAATCGGGCCTTGCTTATAGCAGATGTGGGAGTGGCTGCAGTGACGTTTCGAGTCTGACGGTCTAAGACAGACCAGGTGGGTGTAGGGCAGCTCATTACCCTTCACAGGAACCCGAAGACAGCCTTGTGCCTGGTGCAGGGGATGATACAATGGATGGGGTTGGTGGGGCAGAGGACTGGACCGCTTTTTCAGCATGAGAGCGGACTACCCTTGACCCAGTATCAATTCTTGTCTGTGCCACACCGGGCCTTGGACATGGCGGGCTTAGCCAGGGGCCACTTCGGGACCCACTCCTTTCACATCGGGACAGCCTCAAGAACTATGGAGCTGGGACTTTGCCCATCCGAGATCTAGCACTTGGGGTGTTGGCATTCATGGGCATACAGGGGCTATGTACACAAGCGATGACAGCTCATGGTGTGTCTCGAGGGCATGGCACAAGGACAAAGAACATCAGCATGTTGATTTGTGGGCACTCGATCATATATTGGGTGGGTAGGAGAGCTGGCTGCTCTAGCATGGGTTCCCAGCTGGGCATCGGAGACAGAGCCTCTGTCGAATGGCTGGGGATGAGGGGGATGTGCTGGGGCCAACTGCTCCCCCTTTTGCATAGCCACAGGGCGATGGGCATGCCCCCCCGGGTCGTGGTTGAGCACCTGGGAGAGAACGACCTGAGCACCAGGTCAGCGGTCTCTCTGTTGGCAGAGATATTGTGGGATTTTGAGACACTCGGGGAATGTTTTCCTGACGCTGCCTGGGTATGATCCAATATGTTACCTCGGGGGGTAGGGCGGGGGGGTCTTTAGCCCACCTAGGGTAGACAAGGCACGACAGTGGATGAACAACGTCATTGGTAGGTCGGTTGCTGTGAGGGGAGGGAAAGTGATACCACATCCGGGTATTAAGTTCCTGTGCCCACATCTCTTTCGGCCTGATGGGGTTCACCTATCTGTCGCTGATACAGACATCTTCTTGGCTGATCTGCAGAAGGGTCTGAGAGACCTGGTGGATGCTTGTTGGCGGGAGGGGTGTTAAGACAAGGCTAACCCCCTCTGTGGCGGGAAAGCACAGGTTGAGAGGTGTTGGGAAATGAACTAATTTATGGTTTTATATCTGCTTACACGTGCAACAAATGGACTGTGCACACATCTGTATACCATGAGCCAAAGGAAGCTGTTTGCATCACCTACTGTGAGAGACTTCACATAGGAAATGCTTGCCTGCATTTTATGTTAATGTAGCTTGCACACATTCAGCTCAGAGCATCATGGGAAGAAGAAGCACATGTTAGCCATTGTGAGCAGAGAACAACCAAGAAGGAGGAATTCCCCCATTACTGAAAAGACGAGATGTCATGCAGGACACGGACCTGATCTGCATCTGTATTGCAAGTTTCCTGTTTATGCCTGGGAAAGCCAAGATTCATCTGTACTTCAAAGAGGATACAGGAAGCCAACATTTCACACCTGGCCAGATGGCATTCCATGAGATAGAGTGTAGTATTTCAAATATTGACCCAACCCATAGAATACCTGCCCCTTTCTACATGCACCAATAAGGAAAAACTATGGGATGGACTTGTAAATAGGTGGGATTACAGATTGGCAAGGTGCCACCCACCTGGAGATTCACCTATAAAAGTAAAGACCCAAACCCTAGGTCTTTGCTAGCCACTTCCCTTCTCTACGACCTCTATCTTCTTTACTACCCCTAAGGTCCAGCTTTCTATCCAACAATCCTTTGTCTACCTTAAGATCTCTTGGACTGCAGCCAAAGAGATCCATGCTTGCTTAGATGGTTCTAGCAGGTGTGATTTAGCTTAAACCCCTAGGTCAATGATGGCGAACCTTTTACAGACCAAGTGCCCAAACTGCGACCCAAAACCCACTTATTTATTGCAAAGTGCCAACACGGCAATTTAACCTGAATACTGAGGTTTTACTTTAGAAAAAACAACTCATACATTAAGATGATCCAAACAAAGTAAGGAAAGCAATCCCAAATGCTTTCATTTACTTAAAATTATTTAGCAGAGAATTCGACACTTTAATGATGGTCTGGGCCTGGCTGGGGCAATGGCACGCGTGCCCACAAAGAGGGCTCTGAGTGCCACCTCTGGCACCCATGCCATAGGTTCGCCACCACTGCCCTAGATATTACTTTCTACCCCATTCCCATTGCAAGAGACAAGACTTCTGGAAACAGGCGAGTATAAACCAAAATAGCTACCTAGCTACCTCCAAGTAACTGAGAATCTATTTTATTTCTATTTCTGTAACTCTAAAGGAAACTTGAACGTATGCAAAGTGAGACTGATGTTTTTGTGTGTATGTGATTTTGATATCCTTCAGTAAAAAAAATATTTGTTTTGGAAAAACACCCGTGTGGTCTACATTGCTGGGACTCTGGGTTCGGACACGACCCTGGTATAGCTGGCTAGGACTCATGTTAAAAATTTAGTTAGCCTCTGCTGTAAATAAAGCAGTTGGCATAACAGAGGGTAGATTGGAGATGGCAAGCACCCTGAGTTATCAGCAATGGGGTGGTCCTCAAACTGGACACCTAAGGGCTTGGCAGTCCGGGAGTCTCAGATGGGGGCCCTCCAGGGGTGGGGGAGCACATGGCGAGCCTTAAGGCTTAGCAGTCATGGCAAGGATGTGCTCCTCTGTCCCCGCCATGCACTTGGAGTGCAAGCAGTGAGGGGTAGGGTCCAGAAGGATTCCAGACCTGGCTCTGAGCTAGGGTGGGTTTGCCCGGTTAAAAAGCCTGCCTTGCAGGCACTAGTCAACCCGTGCTTAAATTGGATAATGATGCAGATCAGCTTGTATGTAAATAAAGTCCCAGTTTTAACCCATAAATTGTGTTGTGTTTCATTTGAGGGGGTGGGTGGGCAATGGAAGTAATATGCATGCACAGCCTTAGAATCACATCAGGCAGGCAAGTTAGCACTGGGCCCTCTGTCTCATCAGGATTCAGTTTCAATTTGTTCACACTTAGCCATTCAATTACAGTGTACAGGCAGGACCTATACTGTTTTAACTGATGTCTTTGAGTTTTACATATATATGTATCACTTTTGGTTTTATGATGTACTTTTATGCTTTGTTTTTTTTAATGGTTAGTTGCCTTGGCGGTCCTGATTAGGAAGAAAGGCAGAATATGTTTTGCAAATAAATGAATATTTAGAGAGATATTACCAAATAAAATAAGGCCATTAATGGTTTCTCAGGATGATTTTTGTCCTGTTACTTATCTTTTCTAGATTATTGAGTATTTTAAGGGGGGGAACATATAACTTGAATTAACAAATCTTACCTCGTGGTCCATAGACATCATGCAAACTGTCATTTGTCAGAAAGTTTGATGTGAAATGAATATATCGTCCCTGTTCTCCACATCCACCATATTGCAAGGTATATGGATCATCTCCATATTTCAGGAAAGGCTCAGCCACTATGATATCTGCCTAAGTAAAGCAAGGCCAGGGTTAAAAATCTCCAAGAAAGGGAATGGCAGTACATTATTTAATATAAATGTTCTATGGTAACTTTGCTGAGGAAAATGTCCATAGATGTTAACTCTCCATAATAAAAGCCATACAGTCACAGACACACAGTTTGGGAGACTACAGTGAGTAGAGGAAAGTGGACAAAATCACTCCCCCTCACCCCTTGTGCTAGGGGAACTCTACTGATGGAATAGGATGAAGGGGAGAGATTCTTCACCTTCTCCCTCCCCACTGCAGCCTTCTGACCATTCTTTCCTATCAGTCATTCATTTATAATGTCTAGTAAGCTTGATTCTATATGACTCAAGCACATATTTGCCCAGTCAATATGACAGTAGTTGAAACACCCCAGTATTACAATATTTTCCACTTTAGTCACCTCCCTTATTTCCATCTTCATCTTGAGATCTGCCTCATGATTTTGATCCCAGGGGTGATAGTACACCCCAATTTTTCAGAAACCCTTAGGACCCAGTACCTCCACCCACAATTATTCCACAGGGCAGGTTTTTTCCTTCTAATTTTTTCTAGCTTCTTGAACTCTATAGTCTCTTTGATATACAGAGCAATACAGCCCCCAACATTTCCTTCCCTGTCCTGTCTACAGAGTTTATATCCAGGGATAACTGTGCCCCATTATTTTCCCCCATTCCACCAGGTTTCTGAAATGCCCATGATATCTCATTTGTCATATAGTACTAAGCACTCCAGCACCACCATCTTGGCTCTGAAACTCCCTTTATTGGCATATTGGCCCCTGTGCCTCATTTCCCTCACTAAGGATCCCTGCCTCCCTCAGCCCTGAGGTTTCCTCACATCGCTCTCCTTTACTGCCCTACTCATACCAGAGACTGGGCCCATTCCCACCAATATTTTCCCTTTTAGATGAGTAATTCAGAACTAGTGGCTCTCCAGCTCCTGTCAGCTTTCCCTCAGTTATTAATTTAAAAACTGTCCTGTCAGTTTTGTGATATTAATCAACAGCATCCTGATCCCCTTTCAGTACAAGTGAACCCTCTCTCTTTTGTGCAGGTTCAGTTTGCGGCTCCAGCACCAAAGTGAAGGGCCAAGGTGAGCACCCAGGTTGAAAGTTCTGCTAAAACCCACAAATTCTAGTCTAAAGGTTTTCCCAGTCAAAATAACACACACGTACACATTTTTCAGAAAGAGTAGAATAAAATTGACCACAACTTTATTGCTTACAGCTGTGGTAAGCCTTGGCACAGCATGGGGTAAGGATCAGTGTTTCCTCTAAGCTGAGGTAGTGCGAGCTAGTTCACAGTTTTTTAGCCTCCGGCTCGCACATTTTTGTCTTAGCTCAAGAAGGATGGTTCCAAAGCAAACTGATTTATGCCATAGCCAAATCGCTCACAACTTTAATGCCAGTAGCTCACAAAGTAGAATTTTTGCTCACAAGTCTCCACAGCTTAGAGGGAGCATTGGTAAGGCTCCTGCTCATCGACTGATCTGCCCATCAGTCGATGCTCCGTTGGTCACCTTGGGATGGCAGGTTTTGGATCCCACTAGGGCAGAAGCCCAGAGATAGTCTCCCCTGCCACCTGAGCATTTGGGTAATTCCACGGACATGCCCCCGGGCTGGGCGTATCAGTTGCACCTCACACCAAGACCCCTTAAAGGGATCCCCACACTTAGGAAATTGGCATGCAGGCCGTTTTTCCTGAGAATGGATCCAGCCCCATGCTGACATTGCCAAGTTGCAACAAGAAATCAAGTATACAGAACTGCATGCAACCCCGGCAACTAAAAGGTTGCCAGGGTGGGCCAAGCTGTCCAACGGCTAAAGATGGAAAGCTGAGGCAATAGGGTGCCCTAAACAGCCATCAGGCACCCCTGCCCCCGAGTTCCCTCCAAGACAGTTCGTAGTGTCAGCGCTGGATCAGGCAGGCTCCAGCTTCCCATGCTTGGCTCTGGCCTGTCCCCTCCACCTGGCAACGGAGGAAAGGGGATCCATGGTCGATCCCTGCTCTCACCCTTCCCCACAGCTCTGCAAACAGAACCCGTGTGGGTCCAGGTCCTGGCTTGTCTCAAAAAGCTCCACATTGCCTAACACATCTAAAGCCTTCCTCGCAGTACCACTTGATCATCCACACATTGAGACCCCTAATTCGTGGCTGTCTAGCTGCCCCTGAGCTTGGAACACGTAGCAATTCTAAGAACACTACCTATGAGGTCCTGGCTTTCGGCCTTCTATCTAGTAACCTAACTTTTTCCTCTAGGGCCACACATTTCCCAATGACACAGCTACATTTCCCAGTGTCATTGGTGCCAATGTGCACTCTTTCCCTGCACTAGCTATCAGACTGTCTAAACAGTGCATGATGTCTGCAATCTTCACACCAGGCAAGCAAGCCACCATGCCATCAAAACACCCATGTCAGATCCCATTCTCTATAATCCTAATTATTTGATCTTCCACTACAAAAAAACCACCTCCCCACAACCCCAGAGGAGTAACTTTGGTACAAGAAGCTATTAGTCCATCGTGAAAGGAAGGGGTCACTTCGGCAACACATCTCTCCTTATATATAATTCTGTTTGGGGGTGAACGTTCCACACGCTCCCACAGCATTTGGCTCGCTAACCTATCACTCCAATGGTGTGCCAATCCAGTGCCTGCATTGCTGGAGTCCCGCCCACAGAAGGGGTGGCCAGCATCTCACCCTCAGTGTTGTGCAAGATCTCTCCAAGGCGGCAGGTGGGAGACAACCCCACTTGGCCCGGAGAGACAAAAGCTCCGAGTGCACAGGCATGCCCGAGCAGGCCTCGCTGGAGTGGCAGAAACTGGTGGCCACCAACGTACACCCGGGAACATGCGGCCAGAGAGCGAGAGGCAGTGGTGGTGCTCTCAGTGATGGAGGAGTGCCAGAATACGTGCCAGGTGGCTAGCCCGAGCAGGCCTTGCTGGAGCGGCAGAAGCCCGGCAGCCACCGATGCATGCCCAGGAACATGCAGTTGGAGAGCAAGAGGCGGCGATGGCACTCTCAACAATGGAGGTGCCAGAATACAGGCCTCGCTGGAGTGGCAGAAGCCCAGTGGCCACCAATGCGCCCCTGGGAATGTGTGACTGGAGAGCAAGAGGCAGTGGTGGTGCTTTCAATGATGGAGGAGTGCCAGAATATGTGCCGGGTAACGCTGCTTGCCTCTTTGCCGCAGTGTGCTTGGAGATGGCTGAGACTGCCTGGAAGAGGAGGTGGTGGTGGCAGCAGCAGCACCCTGCTTTCCCCGCGCCTGGCCCTGGCGTCGTCTCTCCAAGGCAGCAGGCAGGAGACGACCCTGCTTGGCCTGGAGAGACAAAGGCTCTGAGCATGCTGGCCGGCCCGAGCAGGCCTCGCCAGAGTGACAGAAGCCCGGCGTTTGCCGATGCACACCCAGGAACATGTGACCAGAGAGCGAGAGGCAGTGGTGCTCTGAATGATGGAGGGGCACCAGATTATGTACCGGGTAACCCCGCTTGCCTCTTTGCCGCAGCTCACTCAGAGGAGGCCAAGACCGCATGGAGGAGGAGGAGGCAGCTCCGCCCGCCTGCTGTGGGGGGGCCTCTTTCTAGAGTTTGTTGTATTGCTTTTATACAACGGGATTTTGCTCCTAGTATACTAAAATTCATAGGAATTGTTTCCATTCTGATGCCCTTCAATCTATTCACTCTCCATAACACCACAGGAGCTATCTGCACAGGAGTTGGGCAGTTCTAGCATGTTCATAAAGGTCTTGGCCGTATACCTCGCCATCTCTCTCAATTGCTCCAGGTCAGCAACTCTAACTTTGAGGGAACAAGCCTAATCCACGAGAGCTAAGAGCTGCATGCATCACATGCACCCACCATTTCTGTTCAATAAGAAAAGAATCATATGTTAAGGGCATCAGGCTGAGGAGGATGGAAGTAATTCCTAAGAAGGGACTCCTTCCTTGCACAATGAACTGATATCTTCTTGTACCAAAGATACCCCTCTAGAGGGCTTTTGGTAGTGGGAGATTGTTAGGAATATAGAGAAAGGGATCTGTGAAGGGTGTTTTGATTCCATGGAGATTGCCCAGACTGCCGACATCATGCACTGTTTAATTTTTTAATTCTTATTTGTATTTTAATATTTAAGATAGGGATATGGAATAAAAAGAGGGGTAAGTGAGAAAATAGAAGAAGCAAAAACATCAAATGTTTAACAGATACTAAGAACAAATCACTAATATGACAATATAAAACATGAAAAATCATAACAAATCATTATAACGAAGTAAGCAATCCATATGACAACTTCTGCAAAACATATTTTCATTATTTCCTATCTATAAAACTGTGATGAAAAACATGAGCAAGAAAAAAAAAGAAATTCCCTTAACTTTGTATATATTTTAAAAGTAACAGTATTAACGGTTTATGATAATGGAGAGAGAACAGAAGATAATATTCCATGTAAAAATGAGTTCATATAGTAACTAATTAGATATATAATTGAAAGGAATTAATTACAATAACTGCAATAATTGCTATAATTATACTGATTTTTTAAAATTATTAATTGGTTTAAATCCCTGGATGATATGTCTCCTCTTACAGCTGTATCTATAATAGGTGTAAAAAGCTCTCCTGTTCTCTAATTAAATAATTGTGTTTTATTTATATAATTCATCAGTTTTGCCATAATAGCATATTCTTCCATTTATTTTTTCCAGTTCTCAAGATTAGGGCAAACTTCAGTTTTCCATTTAGTGGCGAATACTAGTGCTGCGGTTAGCATATATCTAAACAGTTCGTCTGTTGCTCTATTTATGTTGTTTGGTAAAATCCCTAATAACATCATCTCAGGTTTCATGGCAGATTTTAGATTCAAAATTTTCTGAATTTCAACATGTATTTCTTTCCAAAATTCACTAGGCTTTTACAGGACTAACACATATGATAAAAGGTACCAATCCATCTCTTTACATTTCAAGCAAATTCCTTTATAATTTCTAATTCAACTTCTCACTATCTTTTGTTCATATTTTTAATTGATTTATACATTCGATTTATATACCACTCAAACCCCGAAGGGTCTCTAAGCGGTTTACATACAGACTCCAATTTTTTTCCTATCTAAGGCCACATATTACACAAGGGACGGGGCTGCCTACCGGCACCCAGGTGGCAGGGCTTGCTGTTCTCGGCTCCTTCTTCCAGGCGATCTTCGGGTGTTGGCGTTCAGTCTCTGGTGTCCTGGAGTAGGTCTTCCAGTCCGGTGGCTTCCTCTGGCGGGCCCGTCTTGGTGTGCGGTTCGTGTTAGCTATAGCTCCGGCTAATGTCCATTTCTGGCTCCGCCGCTCCTGCGCCGCCACGTCACTGCGCCTTCCACGACTCCGCCTCTTCCGGATTTCGTCACTCTATGTTGTGCTCACTGGCCACCAGGGCTTGCTTCACCAACCTCACCGCCGCTCCGCCACTTCACCGCCACCAATCTCGCCGCCACTCTGCCGCTTCGCCACGCAGTCTCCGCCGCCGATGCTCCTGCCAAACACCTTGCACGAAGGAGGGTGCCCCCTGCCACCTAAGGGCAGGTACCCATTTATCCACTTGCTATATTTACTGCTTTCGAACCGCTGGGTGGGCGGGAGCTGGGACTAGGGCCGGGAGCTCACCCTGGCTGCGGTGGGTCTCGAACCACCGTAATGGCTGTTCATTGATGTTTTTCATACCAATGAAAAAACATCTTATGCCAATTTTCTCTTAGTGCTTGACCCGCAGTAAACTTTATATCTTTCATCCACAAGTTTTCCCATTGCTGAATTGACATCATGCACTGTTAAAATAAGCTAATAACTATTGTAGGGGAAGAGTGTACACTGGCACCAATAACACTTGTAAATGTAACTGCGTCATTGGGATACATAGTTGTTTGGTCCTAAAGGAAAAAAATAGGTTTCCTTCCCTGAAACTCTGCAGAATCCTGTACCAAGGTTAATGTTCTGTATCTTCTCACCCCAAATAATGAACTCACACAGCTTTAAGGTTTTGTTCTGTGGCTGTCTCTTGCCCCATCAAGCTCCTCAGCCAAATTGACTCCCTCTGTTAGTGCCTCTGTTCAGCTGCTGTGTTCACGTGCCCCACAAGCTGCTCTCTCATTTATTAAAAGAGACTTACCTAAGGTTAACTCTGCTTAGAATTTGGACCTGTGGCTCCTCTCTGTTCTTTCACTATCCACATGGGGGCTGAGATTTAGCAATTAGATATATTCCATGCTTACCTTTTCATAGGATTCCATGGTTACTCTTCTGTATTCACTTTTGCTTTCCCATGTCAAAGGAACTATAATTTTTACAGACTTGAAATAAAACCTTTGTTTTGTGGCACTGAACAGATAAGTAGATGCTTCTTTAACCATTTCCTATTGACAAAAGAAAACAATAAATATGCTGTGTTCAAAGGCTGGCATATGGCTTTTTGAATTTCTAGAATGTTTATTTGCATCTTCTTTCTGTCTGGCCTTTCCATATGTAACAGATGAATGTTAATTGTTTTGTGCCATCCTTATTCTATTTTCCAGAGGTTTTTTTCTGTGCAGATACTTATTTCCACCAACAGGGGGCTCACTCGCCCCCAAAAGATTTTCCTACATAGTCAGTAGACTTCCTGGGTTTGTAGAAAAATCCAGAAACTAAAAAAATCCCTTCAGGGACAGCTGAATCCCCCCAAAAACCTTTTGAAATGGCCTCTGCAGGGATCTGCTTCAGGCATCAACAGTGAGAGATTAGAATTTTTTGGGGGGGGTTCTAACTGGCTCTGTCAGTAAAAGGGTGGGGGAAGGGCCCTTTCCAGGCCTCTTTTGGCCTTTCAGGGAGGAAGGGAGGGAGCCTTGGGGCCAGGCCTCACAAGAGTTGCCAGTGCCAGGATGGGGGATTTCGAGAGATTTTGTGGTGGACTCTAAGGAGGGTTGGGTTTGGGAAGGGAAGGGAGAGGCCTCAGCTGGGTATAATGTCACAGAGTCCACCCTCCAAAGCAGCCATTTTCTGCAGGGAGACATACCTCTGCTGTCTAGAGTCCAGTTGTAATTCTGGGGGGTCTCCAGGTCCCATTTGGAGGTTGGCAACTCTAGGCCTGGCAGTAGTCTAGGGTTGCCAGGTCCCCCCTGATTTGCATGACTCACCTAGCCTCGGCTGCTTGCTACCATTCATCAGCGGCCACCCTATGAAAGCCAGTGAGGTGCAGCAGTTAGAGCTTCAAAGTAGGGTCTGCAAGACCCAGGTTCAGATCCCCATCTTGCAGTGGAAGCTGACTGCGTGATTTTGGACCAGTCACATATTTCAGCCTAACCAACCTCACAGGGTTGTTGTGCAGATAAAAAGGAGGAGAGAATAAAGTAAACTGCTTTGGTCACCACTATGGAGAAAGACTGTAATTTTCCTAGGTAGAGGCTGCGGGGTGGAGATGGAAAGCAGAAGACAGACTCTCAAGAGTCTTCTCAGAATACAGAGAGGCAGATAAAGGTAGGTTGGCTGTTGGGTGGGAAGGAAATTGTGTTGCCAACTCCAGGTTGGGAAATTCCTGGACATTTGAGGGGTGGAGCCTGGAGAGGGTGGGATTTGAGGAGGGGAGGAACTTTGGACTGGTGTAATATCATAGACTCCACTCTCCAGCCATTTCCTCCACAAGAACCACCATTGCCAGCCTCCAGGTGAGGACTGGAGATCACCCAGAATTACAAATGTTGTACAGGCGACAGAGATCAGTTTCCTGGGATAAAATGGCTGTTTTGGAGGGTTGAGTCTATGGCATCATACCCTGCTGAGGCTGCTTGCCACCCCAAGGCTCCACCCTCAAATCTCCAGGAATTTCCCAACCTGGAGCTGGCAGCCCTAAGGTGAATTGATCTCTGTAGCTGGGAGATTCGTTGTGATTCCCAGACCGCTCCCACTGCTGCTGTGGGGGGAGAGGAAGCAGGTGGGTGGCTAGGAGCACTGCCACCGCTGCTGCTGCTCTGCAGAGTAGGGGATGAAGCAGAAGGAGGCTGGGAGAGTGATAGGGGCAGAAAAAAAGAATGATGGAGTGGGGGCAGAAAGAGAGAAAAAGTGATGAAGTGAGGAGGCAGAAAAACAAAGAAAAATATGAGAGGTCAGAAAGAGAGAGGAAGTCACATGCATGGAGAAGTAGAGAGTAAGAAAAGGGGGGCAGAGGGGAGAAATAGTGTGAGAGAGGCAGGGCCGGCCCCAGCTTATTTTGCACCCTAGGCGAGGATCCCTTCTGGCGCCCCCCCCCCCATGCACCAACCATGGCTCGGACCCATTAATTGGATCTGTACCCCGGGCCTCCCATTCCCCTGGCACCTAACACTCACTTTTGCTTTTGTAACTTTGCCTGCTTTGCACATCTGGCTTCCACCAAGGAAGACTCTGCAAAGAAAGGCACTCGTCTCTCTGCTTCTCACTTGCCTTGACAGTTCCTTGCTGGGGTTGCCATAAGTCAGTTGCAACTTGAGTGTCCTTGTGTAATAGCCCCCCTACGTAGATTCTTCTTTGACTCAGCTGAGTGACCCTTCTGTGTCCAGAGGGCTAAGTTCTTTGGTGGAATTGGTGTTTGTATCATCAGAAAGATCATAACATGTTTAAAACGCAGTAGTGTTTGCAGCTGAACCAGGACAGCGAAGGGGTGTGTGTGCCAGTTTGGTGCCCCTAAGAGCCGGCGTACTCTAGGCGAGCGCCTAGTTTGCCTAGTGAGTGAGCCGGCCCTGGAGAGAGGTAGGGGGTGAGGAGAGGAAGCAAAGGTGTGATGAATGAGATAACCATCCCACAAGTTTCTTGCAGGTCTCCACTTGTACTCACCAATTGCATGGGGGCTGGGAGTGGCTTAGGTGTATATAGTTAGGGCAGTTGCCCCATGCAAAGCATTCCTGTTGAGATGCAATAAACTGCTGCTTGCTGAAATCACTCTGCCTTCTCCTTTGCCCTGTTAAACCCACTATTTAACAGTTAAAGTGATAAAAATAGGGCCAAGGCTGATGGTGCAAAATCTGGTTAAAAAAAATTTATTACTCCAATAAATTTTCAAAAATTCCCTATGTGTTTTGCCATCTGATGTTTTACTCTTTCTGAAGAACTACTGCAAGACAAACAGATTCCCCTGACAAAGCCGGCTGGAGAAACACACAAGGGATTTTTGGAAATTTGACTGTGTAATAAAATATATTTTACCTGATTTTTCACCATCAGCCTGGGCCCTATTTTTATCACCTGTGACTGGTGCAGCCCTTTATTTTCTTGTAGGGGTTAGAGTGTTGGACTGTGGCACTCAAGACCCAGGTTCAGCTCCCCACTCTGCCATGGAATCTCATTATGTGTCCTTGAGCCACTTGCTTTCTCTCAGCCTAAAGTACCTGGTGGAGCTGTTGTTGTGAGGATAAATTGGAGGTGGGAAGAATGATATTGTATGCTGCTTTGGGTCCCCATTGGGGAGGAAAGCAAGGTATAAATAAATAAATTAGGTGTAGGGAAATATTTATTCGATAGTACCCTGTTCAATAGTACCCTGTACTCTAAACTGGAGCCTATCTTCATATATTCACCTTCTTACTGAAACCAAGGTTGCAAAGTCATTGGCAGAAATTAATCTGAAGTTTATATTCCTTTGGCATAAAGTATGAAATTCAGCCTCTCAGAAAGTCCAGCTTCAAAGTGAGGTGGAACTTTACAAGCGCTGAGATTTTTTTCTGTGGCAATGGTAAAGTTTGCAGGCAACAACACATTATTTAGGGAATGGAAAGCTGACTGCAAAGTGCTGCCATTTAAATCTGATCCTCCCAGACGCTGGTAAAGTTAATTCACACATTTATGATTATTCCTGGTATGGTGTAGTGGTTAGAGTGTTGAACTGTGACACTCAAGACCCAGGTTCAATTCTTGACTCTGCCATGGAATCTTGCTGCGTGGCTGATCATTCTGTCATCAGCAGGAGAAAAGAATGGTCTGCTGGCATCTGTTTTTTCTCCTTTAATTTGTCTATAACTCAAATGTATTTAGCAGGCACAATTTCATCCCACAGTTTGAATGGCAGCCACAATTTCACCTCAGTTTAAAGGACTCCTTTGAAAATCTGGCCAAATTAGCAAAATATTATATTCTTTTACATGCCCATTTTTCTGACAACTTGCCCCTTCTGTTTCATCCTTGGTGGCTAGGGTTACTACCACCTTTGCTGGCCCTCTTTCAACACCTTTAATCTGAAGAACCATGTTTGACTCCCCACTCCCCCCACATGAAGCCTGTGGGGTGACCTTGGATCTGTTACAGTTCCCTCAAAACTCTCTCAACCCCACTTACTTCACAAGCTACCTGTTGTGGGGAGAGAAAGGAAAGATGATTGGAAGTCACTTTTAGAAAAGTGGAGTATAAAGACCAACTTTTCTTCATCAACTTGACAGAGGAATTTAGCAGGTGAAGCTTTACCCAGCATAGAAACATATGGTGTGAAATGCTATTCCTGTTAATTTTTTCTGTGTCAAGCTCTCCTTAAAAGCACAAGGAGGACTGGAAAAGAAATGGTGGCACTAGTGTCTACTATGCAGTTCTTTGCTGTTTGATCTTACTAGCCTAAAACTGAATATACAAATCTAAGTCATTACTACTGGGAATATCTGAACTAGATATATCTCTTCCTCCAAGGGAGAGGCAAGAAGTGCACCCTAAAACATTCCTGCACTAGATAGGAAGTTGAAATATTTTATCTATCTTGGCAAAGACACCCTGCTTACTGAAGGCATTTGAAAATGGACTATTCATACATGTTGGTACATTGCCCCTCAAAGGGTTAGAGACATGGTATGCCTCAGAATAGTTGAGTTTCTTTTGTATTATTTATGAATCTCACATTGATACATACTAGCCCAAGAAACCACAATTATTAGAAAAATCAATAATGTGGACATTTGTACATCCAATATTCAAAACCCAAGATACAAAGTTTGTGTCACCATAAAGGCCTGTACTCCAGTACAGAGCAGGCAAACCCAAGTAGAGGATGGAATGTATAGATCTGGGAGTTCTGCATTATACATTTAAGAAACCTTGGTGAAATTTCCAGTAGCAGCCTAGAATGTACATATTCCTACTTACAGAGTGCAAGATGAATTTACTAATGTATACAAGTGTCTTAAAGTCACTAATATAAAAGTTACATAATGAAAAAAAATGTTCAGTCTTACCTTTAAACTGTTGACAATGTTGTCATCTTCTGGTAACTGAGGATTAATTGCAATAACAATGTCTTCAAATCCACCATTGTTGAGTTTCACCAAGGAACCTGTCACCCCATGTAGTAATTTTATCATCAAGGCAAGAAGCCATATATTAACCATCATCCTTGATTCTTCCAGTTATACTAGCCTCAGTGAAAAAAATAATGGCAGAGAACAGTTACATATACAAATACTTATATATGTACATACAGAAAACCCCTATGTATTTTATGACTGAACTGTTAAGGAAATTCTTCAATTTGTCATGCAGTAACTACTATATTTGATTACAAGTTAACAATCAGGGGAAATTCTGCATTTCCTTGCCATTAATACACTACAAATATTCTTAAACAAAACTTAATCTAAACAGCAGTTTAGAAATTCTGAGTCCTGATTGCTGGCACACAGCAGACACAGAGAGGCAGTTTCTAAGCATCAGAGATTATAAAGCAATTCCAGGACCAGGCATCAAAATACAGTTCCAAGGTTCAGGCAAGGGTAGCTTCAGGTCCAACAGGAAATCCAAGAACAAGACACAACTAGAGAACCAAATAAAATCCAGAACACAGGCAGCAACCTCAACCATTAACAAACAAGTTACTTCCACACAGCCACTCCCTTCTCTGCTGCTTTTAAGCACTAAGCTACTCAGCCACCTGTACTGAGTCATGTGCCTGCCGACTGCCTCAGATCTGCTTCTGCAAGCACTCATCCTCACTGCTGGTGTTGGGCCAGTGCTGTGCTGCTAGGTGGGCACTTCATCTTCTGTCTTGAATGTCTCTCCTCATCTTCCTTCTACTACAATGCTCCTGAGGCTCTAGTGACTGTGTGTGTGTGTGTGTGTGTTTGTGTACTGACTGGCAGCCGACTCTGTGTTGCCAGCTCATGGCTGGGGGGCTGAGTGGCCAGTGTACTGGTTCCTGGCTGAGGATCTGTGTCTGGCCCCTCAGAGACTGTCTCCTCCTCATGTGTCTGCCTCTGACTGTGGGTTGGGGGTCACATCTGCTGGCTGCCTCCTCTTCAGAGGAGTCCTCAGTCCAGGCCCTTTCTGCACTTGGATCTCATCCCCGGTTTTATCAGTGTTCAACTCATGTCACAAATCAGTGTTCCCTCTAAGCTGAGTTAGTGTGAGCTAGCTCAGTTTTTTAGCCTCTGGCTCACACATTTTAGCTCAGGAAGGATGGCTCCAGAGCAAACTAATTTATGCAGTAGCTGAATCGCTCACCCACAACTTTAATGCCAGCAGCTCACAAAGTAGAATTTTTGCTCACAAGACACCACAGCTTAGAGGGAGCATTGGTCACAATACCTTGTATTAATCCCTGGTTATAACAGCATCCATTTATCCTGGGACAAGTGTGGGGCGAAACCAGGATGGCCTCAATGTAATGTGGAAACAAAAAATACCCTGGAATACTTACAGGGGTGAACTCGAGTGTAGTGTAGAATGTAAGTTCAGAGGCAGGGTTGAACCAGGATTTAAGGTCTAGCATGGAATCACCAAGTATCTATTTGCTCTGCTAAGCTTGGCTGGTCAACGAGACCCTGATTTGCCTTATAGCTGTGCATAGATGTAACAGAAGGGCAAAATTAACTCAGACAAATCCCCGGGCTGGGTTCTCTATCAGCTAAATTATATTTAGTAATACTTTTAAAGTGCATAGCATGACAAGAATAATATATCTTGATACTGCTGGCATTTACTGAACTGAGACAAAAGGGTCCTTGTGTTTACCCTGCAAAGCAAATAGCAGCTCTTAGGTGGGGTGAAGCGATTGACTGAGAGCAGGACATCAGTATGGGGTAAAGGGTTCAACTTCTTTCTCCCGTGTTGCAGCTCTGATCTGAACGCTCCCCCTACCCCTGGCCTGCTGCTGACTCATGAAAAATGTCCAAGAGATCTGTTCACACATCTTCTAGGGTTCCATCCAGTTTGATTCCTAGGCACTTTACTAATTTCCTTCACCTTACACCTGCTAAAGTGGCAATGTGAATATATGACATATGGGTGCTGATAGACTGAGGTGCTGTTATTGTACTGGAGAATCTGACCCAGTTTTGGTTTGTATAGTACCACAGAAATTATGACTGAGGGCAGATGAAGGCCCTGGTAGGATACCTCATGCACTCTGACAGCTCTGGGATAAAAAGTAAAATGGGAATGAGTGAAAAATTAGGAGCATGCACACAGACGTGTGTTACTTTGTGGAAACCCTATTTTGCTACATCTGATGTATGCGACTATATGCAATTTAGAAAGAGAAGATGAGGCTGTTCTTGAAGGAAACTTCTCCAAGAACAAGATTTATTTGTGTAAACAAGGTCAGCCTGATAGTGACTTGGGCAAAAAATTCTCATGCTGCTTGTCACGTAAATGCCTATCACACCCTTGTTACATGCAGTGGAAAAACAGAGCCTCTCCAGGCTAGAATTACCATGATTCTTTCATTCCATTTTAACAGAGAGTTCAGACAGTGCCATTCACAACCTGTTACAGATCAGCATTTCCCCTGTTCATTCATTCATCTTTTTTCAAACCCCTTTTGTGCTGATCAGGGAATGAGTAATTAGTTGTAATGCTGCAGTTGGCTGGCAAAAATCTGTTCTGTTCCATTATATTTAATGGGTCTTATTCTTGAGTAGGTATTATTACATTCTTGCTATTATCTGTGAAATGGGAAACCACAGAATTAGAATGGAGATAAAACACTGTATAAATTGTGCAATAATTTAACCTCCTGGAGATACAAAAGTACTCTTGTATGGATACACACATGATTTTCCCAATCCAAATTCTAGAATTTTTAACATTTTGTTTCTTTCTTATTTCCTGCTGTGTTCAGTCTCTTGCTAGTTTGCATTCCCTTTTCTTTGGTAGTTTTAACTTCGTTTATTTATTTAGCCATTGTGATCTGAGTTTATATTAAAAGTTGCATGGTAGAATTTTTTTCAGCAAATACCCGGCCATTTTCTGGCTTGGTCTTCATTCCCTTGTAAGTCTAGGGCCTGTAAGGACGTGCAAAATAGTGATGAGCAACTTGGAACAACAGGATTTTCTACTCTTCTGGAAGCCTGAGTGGGCAGATTTCCACCTTTCCCCCTTTTCTGTTAGGTGCTCTCAACATTCTGTCTCTTCCGGAATATTTTTGGTTCTCATAAATCTGTTTGTCTGGGGTTTACTTTCTTTTGGTCAGTCTATGAAGTGTTTTGTGGATGTGGACAGCTCACTACAGGGGGAAACACCATAGTAGGGCCATCTCTGACATGTACGTGCATTCCTCCCAGGGGACCAGGGTCCTTTGCCACAGCAGGCAAGAGCACTAGTGGCTACAGTGGCTACAGTGGTCAGCAGCTATCAGAGCAGCCTCCCAATTCCCTGTCCTCCTGTGAGAAGGAGGAGTGTCTGGCATAGCCTGATGGTACTGGTTCCTGAGCCCAAGAGTAGCACACATTTCTATATCAATTTCTGGAATTTGGGAAAAAAAAGTGTAGTTTGATGCCTACTTCATGTCTTAGCTCAACATTTTAGCCAGTCAGTCACGTAAGAGTCCAACTGTATCTCACAGCTCTTGATCCCAGCAGAGGCATAACCAGAAAATGTTAGTTGGTGGGGCCTTGGGAAATCCTGTGGGGCAGGGGAGAGGGGGAAGCAGGGGAGAGGGCCACCTGCTTGGTTGGAGGCAGGGCCAGCTCACTCACTAGGCGAACTAGGCGATCGCCTAGAGCGGGACGGCCCTTAGGGGCACCAAACTGCACCCGGCCCTGTACTCTTGGAGTTTCTTGATTTGTGTTTTTCATTCTTCCTAAAATGCATTTATTTTTGAAAATTGGTGGGCGCACGGGGTGGGGGGGGGCAGAAGGGATCCTCGCCGGGGTGCAAAATGAGCTGGAGCCGGCCCTGGTTGGAGGCAAAGGGCTCTTCATCTGCCCCTACCAAAGAGACATTTTCCCTGCAGGGGCATCAGAACCTTTGGTCATCACCCCATCTCAGGTGGGAAGTGCACGTTTGTCTCTGTGGCCAGCACCACACCCACCAGGAAACTGTGGCCTTCTGCGGCTTGCCAAATGCCTGCCATTGTGGTGAAAGAGATGTGCACCAAAGGTGTCACAGGTCCCCCCTTCCCAGTCTCTGCTGCATGCCTCTGCTCTCCCTCTGAGCCCTGGAAGTCTGGAAGGGGGGTCTGCTCAGGGCTGGGCAAGGCACAGAGCCCAGCAAGGGTCTCTACCTGAGGAAACCCCAAAGTGTTTTGCACACCCTCCAAGCCACCACGGGAGGGGCTAAGGATCGACAGAGATTCCCCACATCTTCCTCGGCTCTTGCTGGCTCTGGACTCCAAAAGACAATTAGCATGTAAATGGGATTATTTTGTAAAACTCAGAGTGGTGGAGGAGAAAAGGAGGAGAAAAGCAACAATGGAGATCAGCTCCAGCCTCTTCCAATCCAGTGCCCCTCCCAATCCCGCAAAGCCCTGGGTGTGACCCACTCCCCATCCGCCTCCCTTTGAGCAGCCTCTTTTTACCTATAGCAAGTGACTGAATGGACAATGAGTGCCAGGAGAGGGCTGAGGACAAGAAAGGAGAGCTGAAAGGCTGGGCGCAAGACAGAGGTGCATCAAAGGGCCAGAGGAGGAGCCACCATGCAGGGGGAGAGAAGGGAAGAGGAGCCAGAACATGCCTGGGAAAGGCACCATTTGCCAAAGGCCTCAAGAGGTCTGGAGTGAGGGGGGGCTTCATCCCTTTTAAAACTGCACCCCAGTTGTGGGGCCTGGGCCATGATTGATAGGACACATGGCCCTACGTGCCACACCATGGCTACATGCCTGCTAACCAGGGATTACCAGTTGTTTTAATTCTGCATGATGCCATTTGGCCTGTATGGTATGGCTACCACTTTCCAATGGCTTAGCAACATGATTTGGGAGCCATACCAAGTCTTCTGCCTCTCCTCTATTGATGATATTGTCTTAACATAAGAACATAAGAGACGCCAATGTTGGGTCAGGCCAAAGGCCCATCCAGTCCAACACTCTGTGTCACACAGGGGCCAGAAATACCAGTGCCATCAGGAGGTCCACCAGTGGGGCCAGGACATTATTTATTTTATTATATTTATATTATATT